TTTTGAAACTCTAAGGACTTCTTCTCACTTGCTATGCATCAGCTGTAAGGGTTGTGGCCACATCTCTTCCAAATGTCCTAACCAAGTCTTAGTCATAGAAGAATGAAAGGATGTAATAGAAGAGTCGTTGGAAGATCTAGGGTATAAACCTAAACTTGAAAATTTTGATGATGATAGTGAGGACACCTCCTTAGGTGGCTTCCAGACTCTTTTTGAGACTTTGGATACTATATCCCATTATTTCACTAGTCAATTTTGGAGAACTCATTCGCCTATGATTAGCACTAAATCGAAATTCTTGACTGCAGACCAACCTCAGACTGATGGTCAAAATGAAGTCGTTAACCAAAGTCTTAGCAATTAATTCAAGTCTCTAGTCCAGAAAAATCTTGAAAATTAGGACTTGATCCCCTAAACTGTTCACATTTCATATAACAATTCTATGAATCGATCTCCAGGCTTAAATCCATTTAAAGTTGTTCATAGTTTTAAGTCTAGGCTGCCGTTAGATTTTATTCCCATGTCCCCACATGCTAATGTGTCGTTGTCAGCTAGAGCATTTGTATATCATCTTCATGACTTGCATACTGAGATCAATAAACAACTTGACACAAGTAATGCATTATACAAACTTCGAGTAGATTGGCATAAACAACATTTTGAATTTAACATTGGGGATTATATTATACTGCAAGCCCGTAGTGTTGGTCCTTATGAAATTTTAAAGCATGTTATTCCAATTACATGTGTCATTGATCTTTCCTCACATTTTGGCCACCATTTTATTTTGTCTATTAAGGACTTCGTTGCTTACAAAGGGTATTTAACCACTCTGATCATTTTCTACCTCCACATGGGAATTCCTACATTGAATCTTTTGCTATGTCTACTCCCCTATCACCTATCACAGCACACAAAGATGAGATTGATGTTATTTTAGATGATTAGATTGTTTTGACCAATGATAGAGAGATTCAATACTTTCTTGTTCGTTGGGTAGATAGACTTGATTCTGATGGTACATGGACCCCTAGAAAGAGACTTCAACAACGTGATCCAGATTCATTGGAACTTTATAGAAATCAGCAAAATCTTCTTTTGTCCAGGTCATCTGGTCAGATCATATGCTTGGGGATAATTCTCATCATTTGTTGAGTTCTGATATTTGGTTCGTCAGAAAGATCGTCCCCGATGATAGTTCAACCACTCGATAGAGTCGAGTTTTTCTCCCGCCCCAGGAGAGTTGATGAGGATATCACTTATTTGGACTCTTATTTATGTTTTGGACTACTATTTATGTTTTATTTCATTGGACTTGTATTAATGGATCGGCCCAAGCCCCATAACCATTAGGTTTATTTTTGTTATTTATATGCTTGTATTGCTTATCAAAAGACAGTTGATGAACGATAAAAATGAATGATATGGTTTGTTCCTCAAGTTTTCCTCCCCCTTTCTCCCTAACTCCTCCTTCTTCTCTGGGTTTCTTTCTCCCTGCTGTCGCCTTCTTCTTCTCTTCTTCTTTTGCTGTTTTCTGCCTCCTCTGCTCTTATGCTTGCTGGAACTCTTTCGTTGCTATTTCTTGTCTATGATTTAATTCTAGATTGAGTGCTTGAATTTGATACTACATCAACGAAGCTCATCTACTCATTGGTGAAGATTGACTAAGTGAAGCAATATGAACTTTGAGTGTTTATAGTTCCTTAAGAAGTGTTGGGAAATTACGCCGATAATTGTGCATATTATATTTACAATAAACATATCGTTTGTTTGCATGAAATTGAAATGTATTCCAACTTACTAAAATTGGATTTAATAAGGCAAAACGAGAATTTACCGATTCCGAAGAATATGAAAGTGGAACTTTGTCTTTCGATTCTTGAACGATCGGACCTTGCAATATAAATATATAAATTAGATTAATCATTTTCAGAAATCAAATCATAATAAAAAGAAATCAGAAAATGAGGATGAAGATGCAAGTGATGAATTTTTTGGCCGAGGTAAGTGTTGGACACTTTGTCCTTAAGATGAATTTGCCCCGCATCGGTGCTAACGGTTTTTCGACAATCATTTCCTAAGATACAACGATCACGTCGAGCCATAGGAGCACTCCAAATGACTTCGACCAGCGAACTCGAACGGAATTCCCACTCTACCATGACCATGACCGTGACTTTGATGCAAATGTTTTATGCAAAACCAAAGTGTAAATTGGAATGAAATGATATGGTTTCTATGACTTTTCTTGAATGAATAAAATTCAAACACGTGGGATCTATATATATAGCAGTTGGAAAGGTATGTCAAAGACACAACTATACCAAGAGACACATATCTTGGAATTCATAATTATAGGACATTAATCATATTCATACCAAGAGTCATTATATTTCATACGAAAAGCCACATTTTTTCCTCTATATATTTCTAGAATATTCTACAATATTTTATACGATTTTTTCAATAATTTCCAGTATTTAAGCGGTTTACATTTGGCTTAATTTTTCATTCACCAAATAACGAATTTCACTTAAATAATCATTTGAAAGTGGTTATTTTCGATAAAAAAAAATTCCAACAATCACATACATGAATGAAAATTAATGCAAATGTCTATGCAGACACTAGTAGAGAGAGAGCGGGAAAACACTGCATCAGGTAAGGTAGCTTCTAGCTTTGAACCTTTCCTAGTGAAATACCATCGGATTTACTAGCTAATTGGTGAACGCGATGTTCTTGAATCATCAGCCGTTAGCATAAACCAATACAACAGTACTCACACAATGTCTCCCATAAATCGTTCATGGTTCTCATGACTTGGTTCATTTTAGCCCTGAACCCATCTTGGTTCTGTAAGTGTTTAAAAAATTCAAGCCTTGAATAATTCTCATTGAAGCGGCCCCACTTCACACTTACATAGGTGATCTCCTATTAAGAGTATTCTGCCCTACTCCACTTGACTTAATCAAGATATAGGAATCATTAAAAGTTTATCTTAACCTCCAATCACTCTGCAGAAAGCACTTTGGTATCATAGGAATGAGTTAGGAAATTAGTTTCCTAAGTGCTTCATAGAATCCCCATAACTTAGTTGTCCCTTCGAATCAAGATCTTGGGATCTCCAGTCAACATGGTAAGGTTACCGTTATAAAGATCTTACTCCGTAGGCTTAATCTCATTCCCTTCGATGTGCAGTATACTTGATCTCTTGGTAAAAATATATAAATGGATCCACAAGTTTACACCAATGAGATCAACTGCTTATGATATTATGTCTACGACATACATGTCTAGACTTACCATTATATGTGACTTAGTATCTTTTCAAATTTAGCTAGTCAACAATCGATTCATTTGATTTATACACATTGTCACCACCAAGAAATCCTCTCATGAAGCTACCTGCTTCTCATTAGCTTTATTTAAATCCAAATAATTTTGGAGGACTTCTATCAAATCCTTATACTAGTCTATCATATTTACTAGTGGATTTCATACATGGGTATTCAATATCATCATTAAAGCATTGCAATGCATTTGAATTTTATGAATATTCTCAAATATTCCAATTGTTCTTCTATCTCCAATCAATCGTCATGATCGGCTTTTATCCCAATTCATCCACTTTAGGGCTTTTATCCCTTTTCATCCACTTTAGACTTAATATATATCATCGCATCACAATATCCTTTCAATATCGCAAAATATTTTGTGAAATGTAATCCACAGGTCATGGTATATTTCAAATACCTAAGGACCCCTGTCAATGCCACCCAATAATCATGGCCTGGATTACTCGTGAATCTTCAAGTTTATTCACAACAAAAGCATTATCCGGTCGAGTGCATTTCGTAATATACATTAGATTGCTAATTACTTGTGAACATCTCAGTTGTGACACGCTTTCACCCTTATTTTGACCAAGTGTAGACTTGTGTCAATACTTCAAAGTTTTTAAATATTTTCTCAACAAATGAGATTGGAAAAGTACAATTCCTTCCGATGTTCTAGAGATTTTTATCTCTAGTATTACATCTGCCACACCCAAGTCTTTCATGTCGTAATGCTTCGTAAGCATTTTCATGGCGTTTAGCTCCACTTCGTGACTATTGCCCATCATCAACATATTGACTACATACAAATACATAGGCATCTGGTGTATTTTTCGAGCATACACACTTGTCACATTCATTTATTTTGAACTCATTTGACAACATCGTTTTGTCAAACTTTTGGTGTCAGGAGCTTGTTTCAGTCCATATAAGGACTCAACATGTTTACAAACTTTGTGGCTTTTGCTTGGAGACACCTTTAGGTTGCTCTATGTATATCTCTTCTTCTAACTCACTGTTTAGGAATCCCGTTTTCACATCCATTTGATGAATCTCAAGGTTATGTATTGCCGCAGTTGTAATTAGTAACCTTATCGAAGTGATTCTGGTCACGGGTGAGCAGGTAAAGAAGTCACATCCATCTTCCTACCTATATCATTTGGCAACCAATCTAGCCTTATATTTATCAATGGATCAATCAGGTTTTAATCCATTTATACCCTAAGGCTTATTTCCGGGAGGTATATCTACCAATTCCCATGTATGAATTTGCATTCTGGAATCTATCTCAGTATTGATAGCTTCCTTCCAATGCGGTGCTTCCGAAATAGACATTACTTTTTCAGAAGTCTTTAGATCATTTTTTATCATATATGTGAGACAAACGAAGTGGACATTCTAGCCCTCTTACTACGCCTTGGTTTATCCTCATTTGAAGATCTATTTGTAGTTTCATATGTTATGTTATTCAAACTTACATTTTCCTTATCTTTGCAAGGAAACACATTCTCAAAAAATATCACATTCCTTGACTCAATTATGGTACCCTCGTATATATCCGATTTGTGTACGAGAAAATGATATGCACTACTATTATTGATGTATCCAATAAATATGCAATCAATCGTTTTGGGACCAATCTTTATTTGTTTGGGCTTAAGAACCTCAACCTTTGCCAAACACCCCCACACTTTTAAGTGTTGGTAGGAATGAGGATGACATTTCCATAACTCATATGGTGCCTCTTCCATTTTCTTGAAA